CTCAGTTAACTAGATGTCTGAGCAGGAAGTTCTTCACCAGTGAAGCCAAGCTAACTCTCTTCGACAGCATGATATTGGTCCGTTTTGGAGTAGGCAAAATAGTTAGCTAGCTAACTCCTTACGGCTTTAAAAGGTTCATACTAGTACAAGGAAAATTAGCTCCACTTATGTAGTGGAGCTGTGATCTCTCCAGAGTGATGTGGGATAGTGCACCTAATTACACCTATATGTTCCTGACTCATCCCATGAATGTGGTCCTTTGTGTAGGTCGGATCACAAATGTGACTTGTTCAGATAATTTTCTTTCTTCTTTTTTTGTGTGTGTGTGTGTGTGTGTGTGTGTGTGTGTGTTGAGAGAACTCGTGTATGAAAGGTACGAACTTCTAGTAATAATAATTTTTAGAATTTGACCCATTACCCCAAAAAAAAAAGAATGTAAAAGAAGAGTTATTTATTAGGGGATTACGTGGTAAGAAAGTCTTCATTAAGTGAACTTATTTTTTAATATGGTCCTATCATTAATTAAGTGGTATTTTTATCAAAACACCATAAAACAAGACATTTAAAAATTTTGTCACAAAAAAATCATTAATTATACGCATTTAAGCAACAGTTTAAAAAAAATTGTCATAAAAAAGTTCATTAATTTTCAGACTTCAGCAACCAATTTAAAAATGTTTGTCACATAACAAATCTCACTATATTTAAGTTTTTAGTGACAATTTATAAAAATTAACAAAAAAAGTCACTTATTATCAATTTTTTAGCACGACATGAAAAATATTATTTTCGCAACATTTATAAAATTTATTTTCAATAAACTTGATGTGAAATTTAAATCTAACTATTTGGATATATTGATAATTTATCTATTTATTTAATGATCAGTAAGTATTATAGAACACGGACTGGATCCAAGAAATGAAATGTGGCCTACCGGTTCCATGAGTAAGCGTATGTTAAACGGTGTTCTTAGTTAATTCCACATTTATTTTGTATTTATTTAGCTTTTTTTTTTCAAAACTTTTAGAACACCAGCTTTTTTGGAGTCTAGTGTTGCATTGCAGTGCCCTCCCATTCAAATTGGACCCTCATTAATTATGGTCATGTAATATATGTTCAAGATTGTTGGTTAACATGTCAACTCGTTTCCAACAATGGTGTGTGACATAGTTTACAATAAATTAATCTAGTGAATAAAGGGTTTGTTTTAGGATGGATTATAATCTTGAATTTTTAGTTTGATATTTCTGTTATATCTCTTCTTAACTGATACATATTTACAACTATATACACCTTAGATCTCACGATTAGATTGATTAGTGTAATCTCTTGCTTACATATAGATCTCTATTTTATTGTTTTGTTTGAGCTGTTTTCATTGTATTTCATTGTATAATCATTTATATAAATTAATAAAAAGAAAAAAAATAGGAGGGGTCACTTTCATTGGACAGGTTTCACACGATAAATACAGTTATAACATAATTATTACATTTATATATATATAGACCATCTTCAACGGTTCACCTAAAGTTGCATCAAATTTAAAATTTGATTTGAAAAAGTTACATAAGATTATAGGCTGTTCCAACGGTTGCACCAAATCGATATCAAAATTGAGATTTCACCAAAACAATTCACAAACTGAGGAAACATAACAGTATTCACCAAACACTGTGTATGACCGATATAGAGGAAGAAAGAAAACGGTCAACCGAGTGGCACCATTATAAGCACTGGGTTCGTTATGAAATCCCTCAGCTGGTTGGTTTTTAGAACTGTACCTCGCACGTGAACCGTTGGGAGAGCACGGTCAATCACCCGGAAAAATTACCAAGGTCGCCGGGTTGGGCAATTCGGCTACAGTGCAAACCCCAAAATTTAGCAGAGAACAGGTTTGAACTGGTTTGGGTTCAATTGTTGAGCTGGTTTATTTGGACATAGGTTATTTGTTGAGTTTATGAATATTTAAGAGTGATATAAATTTAAATATTCCCTATTATATTGACATAACATATTTTCACAACTAGCCGTTACATAATTTACCGTTGGTATGGACAGAGTATTCTTGGAAATTTCCGTTGTGATAATGGTGCTCTATAAATAGATTCTGATTTCTATATCAAGCTGACGGTATTTGCATTTTCAGAATAGCATTATATTGTTGTGAATTTTTTTTTTCTTTTGTAATCCATTAGATATTGGTTCCTTGAAAATTGTTAATTAATTTATCTGCATTAAATTAGTTTGTCTGAGTTTGAGCTTTATTCATTACAATATTTTTAGTAAGTGTATTGTATTTTATTCTTAAATATGGAAGATTTCGAATATTTTGAGGAATTACAAATGTTTGAAACAACACTCATATTAATTTTATGTCGGATTTCACGAGAACAGAACACGCAGAACAGTGATAATATTTTATTTCAGAACTTCTCGTAGTTTCTCGTGGTAAAGCATATCACAATTAATAGAGATGACATTGATATGTAAGATCTTGAGATTAGCAGGTCTTCTCAAGATCCATACTAATGGTAATAGTACAGACTATGGTAAATATTTTAGGGAACGAGTACTTGTTTATTTATAATTCACATTGAAAAGTAGTGAATCAAATCGAAATCGAGTATTTTATTGACTCACAAAACTTTGTCTTGCATGACAAAAGGACAATTAAATTAAATCTGTGGTATTTCTTGAACAATTCAATGAGTAACAAAAGTTGGAAAACTGAGACAGACATATAGGTAAAAAATTTTATCGTGTTAATTGAATATCAATTTTCTTTTTATTAAATGATATACTTGTTATTGAAATTTTGTAATTTATTTTTGTAGGTCACTGAAGGAGCGTGATATCATTAGACAATACAGAAGAAGAAGCATTCACAATATTGAATACATGTTTGGGAGATTTTGCGCCAACAGTGTGTAAAGTGGAGATGAAGTTTCGATCAAAAAGAAGCACGCAAATTGCTGATCATGTTCGAACTCACCAAGTGAACTATGAGCGGTTCTCAATCCAACCAGAATAATCTGCGGGTGCCAGAACAAACGCATCATAATACAATGCAACAGACTAATAGGTACTACAGAGCAGCGACAATGAGAAGTTGAAAGAATCAAACAATTACGATTAGGTAGATTTGACGCAAATGGTGCCAACAATCAAAATTGTTGAAGTGTTATCAACTAGAAAGCTCCGCTAGACTAATTCAGCAGAGATAGAACAAAAGGCGATACGACCACAGTGAGTCAGAAGCTGCAGAGCGAATCGAAACAAGGGCCGAAGATAGGGAGGAAACATCTAAACTCCAATCTATATGAAATGAAAGAGAGAATAACGAATGAGATCATAAAAATTATGTCCAAATGGAAATGACAAATTCTAAATCCTATGCAAAGGCGTATTATGAAAGATCTTTAAAGACAGGATTTTATTCGATCCGAACAACTAAATAGATTGCTTAGAAAGGTCCGTATTTGTGGGTTTTAATCTATTTGGTATTTATTATTTAAAATATTATGATCTACATCTGTATTGGTTTAGTTCTTTTGGTTTTATGGAATTTCCCCCCAATACGTTATTTTTGCCTATATTTCAAGTTCCATTTTTCTTAATATTGTTTGGTCTGTTTTTTTTGGCGCTGCATTGTTTTGCATAGGGAAGTCTTTGGCCTCGTAAGTTCAATGTGTTTTTTCTGTAAATATACCTCGACCATTCTTTAAATGATAATTTAAAGTGAAGTCATTGAACTTACATAACATTGATTTGTTTACCAGAGGATCATAACTGGATAATGACCTTTTTGTGCATTTCAGGATGTTACATATCAGTGTCCTTTGTCAACTGGCATTTAATGAAAAAACTACAATATTAAATTATAATAACTGGCATAGGCCAATGGTCATAGCTGAATGGTTTTAATTATGTCGTCCTCTTTACGAATTTGACCCAACAAAAGGTTGTTAAAATAACAAAATACAAAACAATACAAATAACATAATGTGAAACACACTCAACAGTCATTATCTGGTGGGGGTGTGGGAGAAGGGTAGTAGTGATGGGTATATGTATTTACGCGATGTCAATCGTATTCTACGCAGATGACTCAATGTCATCACGGGAAAAAATCACCAAATTGTTGAATTAATGAGTTTTGTTGCAGTGGCCCAAATGTGCGCAGTGGCAAATGTATCAAACTGAGTACCCAACGAATTGACCTGATTAGCCATTTGATGTTCCCATTGAACGCGTTGATTATAACGTTGTTCTTGCATGGCCAAAAACTCAGTCCAATATTGAGGTTGTTCAGTTGATGGCATCACATTGGCAGAAGCATCTTCTGGAGCATCATCTG